CAGTGCTATTCGTGCATTTGAGGTGCAGCAGATGACTTACGCATTCAGTTTTTGTGAGGTCTGTAAGGAACGACGACTGGAGTGCAAGGGCACAAGAAACATGTGTACTCGCTGCAGGAGAGATAAGAAGGTACCAAAAGTTTGGTCAGGAGAGAATAACATGGATCCAATGGCTGTTCCTGAGATTTTGTCTGCCATGTCAGATGCTGAACAGATGCTGATAGCCAGGCTAGCACCTACCGTGCATGTACACTTACTGAAGCGTGGAGGTATCGCTTCAAAGGGGCATTGCATTGCATTCCCACAGGCTGTGCAAGAACCGGCAACTATTCTTCCACGACTACCGGCAGAGGTGGATATCATTCGCGTGAGAAGACAAGGAAAAGATGATACCCATAAGGACTTCAGGGTTAGAAGACACCGTGTTGAGGGAGCGCTTCGTTGGTTGAAGGACAACAATCCTGCCTATGGTGATGTTGTTATTGATGGTGCTCGCATACAGAATTTACCTGAAGATGGTGAGTTGCCCAATCTGAGAACTGTTGAGTTTCCTGAAACAGAGCGGGTAGATGACCAAGGCCCGGCACCACAGCAGTTGGATGCTGGGGAAACAGATTGTACTGATGACTCTACAGTCTCTGGAGTAATTCTTCCTGAGCCTGGCGTTAACGTACAAGCAAAAGTTGAAGCAGCAGTAAATGAAGTTGTGTCAGAACCTAGGGAGGGTGAACCAGAAAATACACAACGAAGGGTGGAACGACCAGTGATTCCTTGGCCGACCACGGACACGACACCAGCGTCAGAGTTTACCACTCCGTACTTTTTTACGATGGTATTTCCTTGTTTGTTTCCCTATGGAAAGGGTGATTTCCACATAAACCGGCCAGTGACATGTCCTTCACTGCATGACTGGGCAGAGCACCTGCTGTGGTACCAAGATGGGAGGTTTGCTAGGCATAAGGTGTGGAAGTTTGTTGTCCACAATATGATCATGAGGAAGCGTGCCCTGGAGCAGAGCCGGTTCTTTGTTGATCAGCAGCTTGGTGACCCACACATAACTGTTGCAGACCTGCAAGAGAGAGTTGCGAGAGGTGACACTTTTACCGACAAGTTGTTGTATTTTGGCGCAAATCTGCGCGGTACAGCTCAGTACTGGCACCAGAGACGCAGAGAGCTTCGTGCCCTTGTGGAGTTCATGGTCAATGAGAAGCGTGGGTTGCCTTCATTTTTCATGACTGGAAGCTGTGCCGAGTTTTACTTTCCTCCTCTTAGAAGGCTACTGGAAGAGTACATCTTGCAGACCAAAGGTGAAGAAGTCAACCTTGCTGAGGATAGCAATGCTCGCTTCAAGGCAGTACAAGAAAATACTCATGTAGTGGTGAGTTACTTTGACCTGCGTACCCAGGCATACCATGAGAAGGTACTGAAGCCGGTATTTGGTGTCTCTGATTATTGGTACCGCTATGAGTTTGCCAAGTCCCGCGGTCAAATTCATTGGCACCAACTCAGCTGGAGGGAAGACAGGCAACCACATCAGCTATTGCATGAAGCTCGTGAAGATGGTTGCGAAGAGGAAGAGTATGCAGCTAGACTTAGTCAGTGGGCAGATGAAACCTTTGCCATGACAGCATTACATCCAGCTGGCAATGACGAAGAAGGGCAGCCAAGAAAAAACCTCTGGCCACCACCTGAGGGAACGGCTGAGCCCATATCAGATGATAGGGATCCCTTAGTTAAGATGCTAATGCAGATCGCTGCAACACAAGATGCAATACTGGAGGATCATTTGCTTTTAGTAAACAGGGTTGGACTCCACAGTTGCTCTGATTACTGCTTGAGAACTCCTCGCCATCCGGAGCAAGGACTGCAGCCGAGAGAACGTGTATGTCGGATGGAGTTTGGAAGCGAGTTCCACCCAGGGAAAAAAGTGCACAGTAATCCCGAAATTGTGGAAGATCATAATGGAGCTCCCCGCCTGGAGATGCCTCGTGACCATCCACGTGTGGTTCAGCATTCTCGTTATCAGTTACAATCGTGGAGAGCAAATGGGGATGTAAGCTTGATTCTTTCCAATTCCCCTCCGGACAATCCTAGCACAGATGATATCATAGCCATAATTGACTATGTCTGTGGATATGCTTGCAGAGATAGCGAACCTACTGGTGCAACTTCTGATCTCTTTAAGGACATGGTGAATGCTGTTGATGCAGGTGATGCAGACCAGGCGACAGGCAAGTCAATGTGTGCTAAGATGCTGATTAAGACGGTAGGAAGACGAGATGTCAGTGGACCGGAGGCTTCCTTTGAACTGAGTGGGCTGGCACTTTGGCGATGTAGCCGTCCATTTACCTACTTGTCAATGTCAGGGTCAAGGAGACTTGAACGTGATGGTGGAACTGCAACTCGCAGCACCCCACTGGATAAGTACCTTGTACGACCGCAAGATGAACACTGTTCTTGGTACCACTTTGCATCTAAGAACGGTAATGTTCCTGTTGTAAGTGGTGGTTCTACGCACGCAACGTGGCCACTGAATGAAGACTACTGTAGGACCATGCTCCTGTTACACTGGCCAAGCTGGTTTGACATCCAAGAAGTGAAGGGGGAAGCAGAATGTTGGATTGATCGCTTTAAGGTCTTTTTTGCAAGTGATGACTGTCCAACATTTGTGAAGGCTCAAGTTGCTAAGGCACGGCGTTTTGCAGACCACCCACAAGAACCAGTATTTGAAGAGGATGAGGAAGATGATGCTGTTGAAGCAGAAGAACAGCCAGACTGGGTGGATGTATATGCAGGGCAGAACCATATATATGAGTGTGTAGAGAGGGACTTCGATTATGATGATGGTGTTGAGGACTATGACTGGAGCAGTACCCGTATTATTCTCCCTGAAGGAAAAGACCCAACAAAATGGCTTCAAGAAAGCATTAAAGCCGATGACGAACGGGAGACAGAAAGTGCAGACCTTGATTTACCTCAGGTGTGTCCGCTGTCTCTTAATACATACATACACTTTATTGATGCTCCCTAAGTGGGCTTTTCAGCTCAATAGAATAAAAAAATACAAATATATAAATTAATTGAGAATGTAAATACAATAATATTATAATTACAAAATATATATCAATAATATAATATATCAACTTAATAAAACATTTGCAAGATGACGTCTAAAATTCCTGGGGCATTTTAAGGACTTAATGTTATCATTCAAGGAGTTCCAGAGTTTGGCTCCTCTGAAAGCAAAGGAGCGCTGCCCTGTTGACAGGCGACATAAAGGTATATCCAAAGCACCAGATGATCGAGTTTGTCTATTATGGACTTGAGAACGTGATTTAAACATATCAGCAAGATAGTCTGGAACAAGCTTGTTAATACATTTGTGCATCATAGTAGCGTCATTTAGAATGAGTTTCTCTCTAATAGGAAGCCATTTCAATGATCGCAACCCATCCGAAATATGGTCATACTTTCTTAGTCCCAGAATAATTCGCCCAGCAAAGTTTTGGACTTTTTGTAACTTGTCAATATTGCTGCTGCTGGTATTACTCCAGACAGTTGAACAATATTGGAGTTTACTAAAGACAAATGAATTTATTACTAACAGAAGTGTTTTCCTATCCAGGAGGTGCTTGATTCTGTTAATTTGGTACAATTTAAAAAGGCATTTAGAGGCAATCTCAGTGATATGTTGGTTATAACTGAGGCGTGTGTCGAGAAGAACACCCAAGTCCTTAACGACAGGCACAGGTGTTATTTCCTTGTCAAAAAGTGTTATACTGAATGATGACAGTTTCTTTAAAAGTTGTGGTAATCCAACAGCTAGAACCTTAGTTTTGTCCGGATTAATCAAAAGAGAGTTTTTACAGCACCACTGAGATATTCTCGTAAGATCTTCGTTTAAGGCGAGGATGGACGTGGGTAATTCGGCAGGTGAAAAGGACAAATACAATTTACAATCATCAACATAGGAGGCAGATAGACAACGTTTAGGAACAGAAAGGAGGTCGTTAACATAGATTGTAAACAAAACCGGACCTAAAATAGAGCCTTGCGGAACTCCGAACTCAAGTGGGAGTACTTTAGAAACTGCGTCACCAATTCGAACGCACTGTTGTCGGTTAGAAAGGTAACTCTGAAACCAATCCAACGCACCCTGGGAAAAATCGAGATTTTGTAGCTTGGATAACAAGATGTCGTGTCGAATACTATCAAATGCTTTAGACATATCTAATAAGACCATGATGGAAACTTTCTTGTTATCCATAGCCTGGAGCAACTGATCTGTAACGTACAACAGAGCTGTTTCTGTCGAGTGAAGCTTTCTATTTCCGCTCTGATGTGCTGCCAGTTTATTATTTCTAATTAGATGCTCCATAAGTTGTCCATGTACCAACCTTTCAGTGACTTTTGAGACTATTGGTAATAATGAGATGGGGCGATAGTTGTTAGGGACATCTGGATTACCGCATTTGAGAATAGGTGTAACCTCTGCTGTTTTCCATGCACGTGCAAATGTGTTGCTTAATGAGAATCAGAAAGCCATAGTGGGGTTTGTGTTGCACACCCTGTACAACTTTGTTGAAAACACTGGATATTACCTTCCACTGCGGCTTGTTGTCTCTGGAACTGCTGGTACAGGAAAGTCTTATGTCATAAAGTGTCTCCAGAGGTTAGTGCGGCAAGTTTTCTAAGCCAATGATGCAATACAGGTGATAACTCCAACGGGGAATGCTGCCTATCTAGTTCAAGGCAGTACAGCTCACAGCTTTCTAGGAGTACCAACAGGTGGAAGGCCCTGCAATGAGTTGACTGTACCTACAGGTCCCTTACTAGAGAAAATTCAGAAAAAGTGCGAAAATCCGAAAGTTCTGGTTGGGGATGAACGATCAATGTTTGGACGCACAACAATGGGCTGGACGGAACAGCATGCACGTTATGCAATCAACAAAGGAGCCAATGCAGATCAGTGATGGGGAGGGATTCCTGTGGCAGTGTTTATGGGAGATGATGTTCAGCTTCCTCCTGTGTGTGACACCCCTGTGTACATCTCAGATTGTCGTAGTGCACCATCTAACCACGGTCATTTGGTTTGGACAATGTTTGATAGTGCTGTTGAGCTTACTCAGATTATACGGCAGAACGAATCTGAACAACAGCTGAGAGATGTGCTGATGTCATTAAGAAATTATACCACAACACCCCAGAAAATCCATTGGCTACAACAGTTTCAATGGCACAATCTCCGCATGTCGCACGGGCCAGAACTCCTTGCGAGGATGGATGAGCAAGGTCTGTACGTATTTCCCACGCGCCGTCTTGAATGGCAGCGTAATAAAACAAAGCTGCTTGAGTGTAACAGACGGCCAAACCACCCAGTAGCAAAGATCAAGGCAGTTCACAATGGCCGACATGCAGTGAAGGCCGACAGTAATAAGGCGGGAGGATTGTTACCTTTACTGTATCTTTCCCGTGACAGCAAAGTCATGCAGGTGGTTAACTTAAAGGCTGATTGGGGTTGTTCAATGGGGCGGTAGGTACAGTCGTAGACATTCTGTACAAAGATGGCCGCAGACCTACTGATGATCCTGCTCCAGTACCTGTTGTGGTTCTGGTGAGGTTTCCAGGATATAGGGGGCCACCGTACATTAATGAAGATCCTACAGTTGTGCCAATTGTACCAGTAAGTCGTTCCACTGATTGTGCATGCCGATGCAAGCGTCTGCAGGTTCCATTGCGACTGGCATGGGGAACAACAATCCACAAATGCCAAGGGATGACTGTGGGTGCTGGAGAAACATTTAGGTATGTAGTGGTTCACCCCGGGGACCATGGCTTTGAAGCCAGAAACCCAGGAGCTCTATTTGAGGCGTTGTCAAGAGCAAAATCAGCAGGCGGGGAAGGAAGAGATCCTGATTTTGCTTTTCATGAAGATGTATTGATAAACAGTGACAGATTCACACCTGTGGACACTCCAACTACAAGAGCTAGAGCAGTGGAGATTGAGAGACTGCACGTCTTAGCAACTCAGTGTCGGCAGAAAAGGGTGTTAGCACCAGCGTATAGGGAGGAAACCTTTCTCAGACTCATAGAGTGGGCTCAGTCTCAAGATCATCATTGAAACATGTGGTCTAAGTGTTGACAATAATATTGGTTCAGAGGTGAAAGCCTTAGCATGATGGTGTCTTGTTTGCAGTCATATCAATAAGATAGCGCTAATGCCTATAATGTGATGAATTGTACATATCCAAGCAAGGCCAATAACAGTGCAGTAATGCTGTAATCAGTCTGTGTGGCTGAGGGCCTTTGTGGCCGTGCATAACAAATAACAGTGCCGTTATGCTGTAATTAGCCTGTGTGGCTGAGGGCCTTTGTGGCCATGCATAACAAATAACAGTGCCGTTATGCTGTAATTAGCCTGTGTGGCTGAGGGCCTTTGTGGCCATGCATAACAAATGAACTGCCTGTTGCTGTAATAAACCTGTGTGGACAAGGGTCTACTATGTGGCCACACCTAAAAAAAAAAAGGCTCTTAAGTTGAGATTGGCATTAGGGCTTGTGTTGAAAGGGATATTACTGCAAAAGCCAGTTTTTCAGCAAAAAAGTAAGTTCTTGGAATTATTTCATTTTAGCAATATTGTTTTGTTAAGTCTCCTTACTTTATTTAACTTACAGTAGAAACCTGCATGTTTGATGAACCTACTTTTTGAAATTCAGTGAACTCTCGCCTTGTGGACATCTTGCTATAAGGAACACTATTATGATATTGACATTTCAAATAAGCTCATATTTTGTAAGGACAGAAATACAGGTTATAACTTGAGGAAAAATGACACACAGGACCTTGTTCCAAATTTTAGTAGAACTGATGGTTTTAAATATAGTTTTTTTAACCGTGTTGTAGATGAATGGAATGGTTTACCCAATCATATTAGAGAATCAAACAGTATTGCAACTTTTAAAAGAAATGTGTTAAGGTTTATTAGGGATAACTAGAACATTTATATTTCTATTTGTATATATTTTTCTTGTATGTTAATTAGTGGGGACATCCCTAGTATGGCGCATTGGTGCTTTTGGTTGTCTCCTTCTCCACAACTTTTTTTTTTTTTGTTCGTTTGTTTGTTTGTTAAAGTAGTGTTAGCTTATTTCATTTCATTATTTGCTTGTTATGCAGTGGAGTGAATCTGTAATAAAATAAAAAAATAAAATAAAACACCCTGATAATATGGACGGCAGCTAAATACCAAGCAAAAATAAATTACAGACGTTTGACTGAAATAAACTTCCGCTATTATGGACTATCACTAATGAAGACACTAACTCAAGCTCCTTATAGTGTCCACTTTATTAAGAAAGTTGACTGTATGGCAAAATAGGTTCTTGTACTTTGGATAGTTATTGGCAATTAATATTTATGCATACTTAGTAAGTTCTGGTTGAATAAGGTCCATTTTTCTCTATGAAAGATATAATATTATGGTCTTGAAGCAGCAGAAAAATAATGTTTTTGCTTCAGTTCTAAAATCCATAAGTGTATCTCTATAGTTTATCATAGTTAAACTATAAACCAATAATAAAAGAGCCTCCTTGATCTTTCTTGGTTTAAAACATGTAGGTTCTTGTATTATTGGTCATTAAAATGGATCATTTCTGCTCTTAGGTTTTTTAAGTAAACCACTACTTTTACATGCTGGTTTTTACTGTACATGTAGTTATCAAACTTCATTGCTCTTGGCATTTCCTCAATTACATGCTAATGGCATTTGTTTTCACAATTTCACTGCCAAAGGTAGGCAAAGTTCACATATGCCATGTTACAGTTATGGGCTTAGTATCCTAGCCTTGAGTGAATGCAAAGCTGAGGTTGACCTTTTTTCATTCAAACCTGCTTCCTTTTCTTATGGAAATTATGCTTAAAAATACTGTAGTTAGCATAAAAACAACATAATTTACATAATCAAGCAGGAAGGGTTGTATGAAAACATTACAAGGTCAACTCCAACCTTGTTTTCACCTTTAACTGTAAAATGGACTATTTAAATAAAATTCTAAGCCTCATTTTGTAAAATAGTGAAAGACATATTTTAAAATAGTACTACTTACAAAGAGCTTTCACTTGAATAGTCACACCATACAATGTAGGATTTGTCTTCAAAATCAAAAGTTAAATAATTATTAACTATCTTACAAGACTACATTGTTCACTTTGCAAGTGAAAGGGTTAATAGAATCCGGACCAGGCTCAGTATTTTTTAGGAAAAGCTTTTTTTCCTTTTTCCTTAGTAATTTTTTAGCTAAGTATGGTAAATTTAGAGATAATCAACAAGTTATTGAAGTCAAACATGTGATGATAAAAAACTATAGAGATAAATGCATAGTTAGACTTAATTAGTACATATATTTCTTCAATAACCACACATGAGCTTCTGGATAGACTGAACTGCCGAATAGATTCCATAAACAATATTTCACATTCATCGTCCTCGACTGCTGATTCCGTGAACAACTGTCAGATAAACACTAAACCTTAACTTCTTATCCCAGTGTAAACAGCTTCAATATAAAATGAAGTCTATGCCTTTGTTCAAAGTGACTGGTGCCAATGGTATTACTGCAAAACAGGCTGGTGCTCCAGGTACGTCATCATCGTTACCAAGATTAATCGAGTATGTATGCTACTATAACAGTTCTTTTAATCATCAGCTTGGAATCTAGCTAACAGATTTTCCGTGTTTACGACAGATTCAAAATTATTCAAGGAGCATATACATACTGAAAATCAAAACCTCCATTATAAACTGCATTGTTCTTTACCCAAGACACCCACAACCAAAACTGAAATTGTCAGGCTAATTGACCAGATGCCGTAGAAACTGGAGAATGACCATATGAATGGTTAGATACAGTGAAAAGCTTGCATCTATAACTGTGATGATCTTCATATTCTGCAATTCCAGTATGTCTTGAATGACATACCAGATATAACTTTGTTGTGTGAGTTCACCGTGGATAAATTAATCTTTCCTTGCTGGAGATCGGTTTAATTGATAGTTGTCACTTTCCGAGTCATTATCAATGGCATTCCTTAAGGTTCGATTCTTGGAGTGGTATTGTTCGTGGATTTACAAAATGATCTTTAACCCTGTGGAACTGACAAGTCAACTGTTGAGTTTTATGATGATGGCACAGGTTAAAGCGAGTTATCACCTCTGGCTTCTCCCATTACTCCGGAGAGCACTTTATAGAGAGAACATCACCAAGTCATACAAGAGTGTTATCATCCTTCAAAAGCAAAATGGTTATCATTATCTCAATACCGTCTCTGTCCTGTTCCTATTACATCACAACATCATTGAAAAGCATGTTGATGCCTTTTAATCAGCAGAAACATACGTTTGCAAAATTGAAATATTTTACAGCATTACAACAGCTCAAATAATGGGAGCTGTTCTATAACTTTAGGATGACATCAATAACATGATATTACAGCTGAGTTTCTGGTTGCTGATCATCAGAAAAGTAAACATCAACTGAATAGCAACCGAGGCAGACATTAGAAAGAAGCAATGTTGAAAAGACTGTTCAAACTATTTATTACTAAAAACATACTGACAACATACCAACAACATTGTCTTAATATAGTTTTTTTATACCAGAGAAGCAATGGGGATAACTTATTAACTGATAGTAATCCTCACAACAAAAGCAGAGTTGCATACAAAATGGACAAAGCACCCACATAATCTTGTGTGTTAAATATACAAACAGGATACAGATGGAGCATGCATAGCCAACGGAATGGTATTCCAGTAGATATAATGAAAAAGGGGGTGTTCAGTCCCTTTTAAATGGACTTTAATAATGTTAATCACATAGAGCCATTTATCATAGTTTTAATCTTTGTTGCATATAGTCATTGTAACTTTTTTTATTCCAAAAGTAAACTGTATTTAGCCTGGTAATAATAATTTTATTCTCCTTTCCTGTTACAGAAATAATCTGCAATTTATTATAGATGCCATAAACTTATCAGGGTTAATTGTTATCCTTTTAAAATAAAGTTTATTATTATTATTATTATTATTAATATAAGGCGGCCTTTTTGTTTTTAGCCCAGCGACAAGAGTGAAGATGGTCCCTTCATGACACCTCCGCCTTCTTGAGCGGTTAATACGCGGCGAGTTCTGTTATGAGATCTTTAAAAATGCTGCGGGGCACTGGAACCCTCATACATCATGTATTATACTGGATAATGCTGTTAACACATGATAATTTTTTTGATGAATGGGAAATAAAAAGACGCTACACTTGCCAAAGCTTCTTTTGCTTTTGTTCTTAGTGCTTAGAAATGGACGTAATGTGTCCTTCTTGCTTTATGTACCAGTTGAATATAATAAATTTCCTCTAATTTATTTGTAAAAAGCAGGGTGCAAAGAAAATCACTTTTACAGCTTGCCATTGGGGCAAGCTGAAACTAGCATTTACTAGCCCGGACGTCATTCGAACTAGCCCCAAAAGATTTTTGACAAGCAGAATTGATTTCACAGTTCGAATTCCTCAAAAAATATCAGTTGCCCATCGGGCAAGTTAAAAACAGTCTTCACTAGCCCGATGGCAAAATCCACTAGCCATAGGCTATCAGACACCACTTTCTTTGCACACTGAAAAGGTGCAGATAAACAATGATGAATGTGCCATCCTGCCATTTGTTTTGCTTGAGCGATTAAGAAAAAAGAGTGATAGGTCATAATCTTCCAAGAAACAGGTGAGAAACATCTCGGTCCCTGGCAGGCTTACATGTAGGCAAACAGCAACTTTCCTAGTCCCCAGATGAATTCATACTTGAAGTACGCTTTAAAACTGGAAAAACTGTTTGTTGTGAGAATTGAAGTTATCATGACGGGCTTAGGCTACAAAAAAAATTCTGACCAGGAGGTCTTCTAATCTCGTAAATTACTTGTCACCGCCTGCCGGAAACAATCAATGAAGCCCTTTTTTTCTCTCAGTATCTTGTTTCATTTGTTAGATTTACTGAGGTTGTCGCGACTGTCGCGCGTGAATATTTCGCTTAAGTTTCTGTCACTTTACTGTATAACGCTGGTTACATTTGCGAAGCTATGGGCAAAATGGCTAGATTTCTAATTACTCCTGGCAAGTGTTAAATCTACTTTAATTTAACGGGAAGATGCCGGCGAAACGAATCCGTTTAAACCTACGTCAAGTTCGACCACTACACTGCTTAACGAGAGTGGCAAATTATTTCTGTAGGAAATCCTTACTTGGTTATCGACTTCGGTAAGTTTAGCTTTGTTTAGCCGAGCAATTGATGGTAAGTTGTGATTTTTAATATTTCGGTTTTTTGTCGATGAAAAATACCGAGAAAAAATATCGAGCGGAAATTATTTATTTCGCACGTGCTCTGTGATGATGTATTTCACATAATTTTTGATAATGTATTACAAAAAGATTCTGTCCAGATTTCTCGATATTTTATCAGTTTCACTCTATCACACGCCGCCCAACAAACGATTGCAAGCCTCTAGCAATTTGGCGCCGGCTTTCCTATTTTGCTTTTGCATTTTGATCACCGTCTCATGAAAGTGCTTTTAATTATTTGTGGCGGGAAATATGTACCGCGCGCGTTTGCAGTGTTTGGCGCCCAGATCATTGACATCAGTGGAAGAGACTCCAGACAGGTAAGAAAACTTAATAATAGTATCAGTAGCATTTGATGTTTAAAATTATAATTCTGGATCATTCTCTTCTAGTTCAACACTCGAGAGAGTCAGCTCTTTTCTCAAAAAAATTTCGCAGACAAGTAGCCTCGCTGGGTCATGCAGGGTCCCCTTGTTTCCTGAGCTTTTGTTATCTGCGTTGCATAGTATTAACCTGTAGTATCCTGGGTAGTGTATACCTGAAATCTACAGTTAACTCGTAAAAATTCTCTAATCAATGCTGTAGTATCCTGGGTAGCGTATACCTGAAATCTACAGTTAACTCGTAAAAATGCTCTAATCATTCCTGTAGTATCCTCGGTAGCGTATACCTGAAATCTATGGTTAACTCGTAAAAATGCTCTAATCATTCCTGTAGTATCCTGGGTAGTGTATACCTGAAATCTACAGTTAACTTCCAAAAATGTTCTAATCATTCCTGTAGTATCCTGGGTAGTGTAAACCTGAAATCTACAGTTAACTTGCAAAAACACTCTAATCAATGCTGTAGTATCCCGGCTAATGTATACCTGAAAAATACATAACATTGACTTATTTGACTTATGGAGGTGATAATCTTATTCAACTCTTTCTCTTTTGAATAATCATGGTCAATTAACAGCTTTCTCTCGATCCATCTTATTTTTTTAGCACGCGCTCGAACTTGATTTTGGCACGCGTGTTGCCTTAACAAAGCGGAGTAAAAGAGCAGTATAAGAACATGTATTGCAGTATTTTGTTTTAGTGATCTAGGAACCTCTTAATTTGGCGATTTTGCGATAATGACATATCGCCAGGGCTATTTCATTTGCTTGATATAAAAGCAGTACAAAAAAATCTTAAATCATATTAGTACTTGTCTGTTAATTGTTGTTTCTGTCGGCTTTATAAGGATTTGATACATACTGATACAGGACCATAAAGTAGTTAGCGCGTTTGTTAAATTTGGTAATGTTAAATTAGAGTATAAGGAGCTACTTTTACGAATTTTACGAAAAACATTTTCCCGGCCTTTTAGGAAGCGGCTTAAATAGTTTCAAAGTTGCAGGGCAGTCACAAAACTGAATTCTTGTGTTTACCTCCTTTTCATACTATAATTTACTGCCCGAGACTCAAAAAGGCGCTATGTAAAATGTTTATCACGTTACATTATTACCAAATTAGTAAGTGCCTCGGAAGAGGGTTAGCCGAGCAGAAAAAGATTTAAACCTTGCTTTAATCGGATATTGCGGTTAATTTCATTTCAGTCTATGGTAGCTTGAGTTACTCTTTTGTGGGCAATTTACGGAAGTCCTAGGGTATTCAGCCGACACCTCAAGAGCCTAGAGCTGTCAGACCTTGGTTTTGAATTACTTATGCAAATTAGCTGGCTGCACATTGAATGTGCAGCCAGCTAATTTGCATAAAATTTTTTCGCGCTTCAAAGCTCGTCATGTTAATTTAACCACCTGCTCCCTAAGTTAGTGTATCATCAAATAAGGCTTTAAGTTTCTTGCTTAAACCCACTTCCACCTCTTATGGGTGAGAGGGTTGGATTTCAGTTGAATGAGGCATATGTCTTCCTGGGCGTGTATCTCCTGCAAACTCATCAATGCTTCATAATTTCTGCAATGATAAGAAAAAGGCCAATTGAGCATGAATAAATATGATGCCAAATAATTTGAAAAGCTTGCTGATTAACTTTTGAACAAAACTTCTATCTTAAGTCTTGGGAAAAAGTTTTTAATTGCTTTTGTCAGAGTTGAAGAACCCCAAACTGAATTGATGTTATATAAATGAAACTAGCCCCTGCCCCTGAACTACGGTATTTTCTAATATAAAACTACGAGGTTTAAGTTCCAGGTCGTTCTGAATCATTCGTACCCCAACCGGCCGGTATAAATAATATTAAGCTTAACGTATGAACTCTAACGACCTGAAAACTCAGCTAAACTCCACACGCAGTCATTTCGTTGTAAATTGTTGAAATGGCCGTCGCTACCTTATTGATCATTTTGGTATTGTGCGATAGCCTTAAGTGCATTAAATGACAATACCACTCAAATTTTTAACGGCAGAAGCTAGAAATCCTGTGTCTTAAGATACACTGTCACAAATATTGTAAGAATATGTAATTGCTTATTTCTTGTTACCTGGATCGGAGGCAGCGCCGGTGGACACTGTACTGTTGTATCTTTTGAATCAAGGTTCGGTAGATGTAAGTTGTCTCTCTTTGTTCCCTACGATCTTCAAGATAAGTCGTGAACACATCTTGCCACTAGTTTTTTTCTTTTGTCTTTAGCATTGGCCCTGCGGCCTTTGAAAACCCGTAATTAAATATTGGCAAATATATGTGAGTTCGAATATACAAGATGGCTGCTTACCTTTAATCCTAGGCGATCGAACACCAGTAGACCTGGGCTCGATTTTGTGAGCCAATCGTAGGACACTAATTTACCACGCCCCTGACCCGCCTCCGGTCCCGCCTCCCTTGACTCGGCCCAGCTCATCGAATTTTTTTACAACAGCATTTTTTTTTTTGCCATTCGCGCGCTCGGAATTGACGCTGAAAATTTCTTTCATAGAATCAAAGTCAAAAAGACTTTCTGCAAAGACTGATCAAACAATGTGAAAATTCTAAGGTATACAATATTTCCACTGGCCAATACCAGTCTTCATCAGGTTTATTTGGGAAAAACATGAAGAATATACAGAATATATACTACTGTAAAATAATAAACGGAAGTTACAGATGTACATGGTAAGGATTACATAATGAATATAGCTCGTTGCGTTTTTTAATTCCCAGAGGCCCGATGGTTTTAGCTTTATGAATGAGGGGAGCCTCGCGCGCTTTCCTAAGACAATCGCGTTCATATCTAAGTGTTTAAATTGTGATAAGTAACATATAGGAAACCGAGTGATCATGACCATTGCTGAGAAAGCGTTCTGAAACTGCGGTTTCGATGTAAACCGTGTTTTATTCTTGGTTTTCACATGACGTCACTGAAATTCAAACTACAAAACTATCGATCCTTCTGAGATTTTATTTTCATGATTCATTAGAGCAGCTGAAAACTAATGTTCATATAAATTTTCGCTTTAAAAGGGTTCTTTGCTTTTGTGTTAGGGTACGCTTTCTCTAACCCGAATCTTGGCGAGGGTCTTTGTATATTTACCTCCTTTCATTTCCCAGATTCTATACTTAAACTGTTGAACGGTTCTGATTTTTATTTTGATCTATTTTGAATAGCGTGAAACTGAAAACCAGCAATAGGGGCATGTTGTGTATTTACTGCTGCACCGAAAAGAACCGGGAGTGGCCCGGTCATTGTTACAGTTATTAGTCTCTGGTAATTGGGCTCTAACAAGTATCGCTTAAATTGTTAGGATGGTAGTAAGCTACTATTGGAAAGTTTTCAAAATCATTTCTACATCGTTCTCAGGAAAAGTAGAGAACATGAGAAAGTTTGAGAATAATGTACCCGACATTGGGCAATGTAGGGTTGTCATAATCATCATCATTATCATTGTTATTATCATTACATTATTGTTGTAATGAGATCGGGAGCTCCGCTTTTAGGCTTGGCTAAATATATATATTAGGAGTTCTTCACAGCACCACAAATAAACCAACATTGAAACAAGCAGTTATTACACTGGTAACTAGCATTCTAGAAGTGTCATCTGGACATCTCACCGGAAACGGCAGAGTTGGGTGCCGAGCTGGTCAAAGGTCTCAAATCCTCGGAACAAAGTGAGCGCAATCCTTCAGCATGGCCGCGACAATGGACTTTTTCAGAGTTTCCATCAGAGGCGTTCAAATCAAAGGGTAAGTTTTGGAGCAGTGGTATTTTCTGCGTAAACTAATTGCCTTACCGCACTTCATGTGAAATTCCTTCAGAAAACAAAGCCTTACTTGGCGCTTATCTCCATGGCTTACGCTGTTTAATTTGGATAATTTTCAGATATCACCATTTCAAGGTTAAAGCACCATCTGGGACACCATTTATCGTTAGAAAGGAAGCTTACAACGAGTATGATCCCTTCNGACCATTGCTGAGAAAGCGTTCTGAAACTGCGGTTTCGATGTAAACCGTGTTTTATTCTTGGTTTTCACATGACGTCACTGAAATTCAAACTACAAAACTATCGATCCTTCTGAGATTTTATTTTCATGATTCATTAGAGCAGCTGAAAACTAATGTTCATATAAATTTTCGCTTTAAAAGGGTTCTTTGCTTTTGTGTTAGGGTACGCTTTCTCTAACCCGAATCTTGGCGAGGGTCTTTGTATATTTACCTCCTTTCATTTCCCAGATTCTATACTTAAACTGTTGAACGGTTCTGATTTTTATTTTGATCTATTTTGAATAGCGTGAAACTGAAAACCAGCAATAGGGGCATGTTGTGTATTTACTGCTGCACCGAAAAGAACCGGGAGTGGCCCGGTCATTGTTACAGTTATTAGTCTCTGGTAATTGGGCTCTAACAAGTATCGCTTAAATTGTTAGGATGGTAGTAAGCTACTATTGGAAAGTTTTCAAAATCATTTCTACATCGTTCTCAGGAAAAGTAGAGAACATGAGAAAGTTTGAGAATAATGTACCCGACATTGGGCAATGTAGGGTTGTCATAATCATCATCATTATCATTGTTATTATCATTACATTATTGTTGTAATGAGATCGGGAGCTCCGCTTTTAGGCTTGGCTAAATATATATATTAGGAGTTCTTCACAGCACCACAAATAAACCAACATTGAAACAAGCAGTTATTACACTGGTAACTAGCATTCTAGAAGTGTCATCTGGACATCTCACCGGAAACGGCAGAGTTGGGTGCCGAGCTGGTCAAAGGTCTCAAATCCTCGGAACAAAGTGAGCGCAATCCTTCAGCATGGCCGCGACAATGGACTTTTTCAGAGTTTCCATCAGAGGCGTTCAAATCAAAGGGTAAGTTTTGGAGCAGTGGTATTTTCTGCGTAAACTAATTGCCTTACCGCACTTCATGTGAAATTCCTTCAGAAAACAAAGCCTTACTTGGCGCTTATCTCCATGGCTTACGCTGTTTAATTTGGATAATTTTCAGATATCACCATTTCAAGGTTAAAGCACCATCTGGGACACCATTTATCGTTAGAAAGGAAGCTTACAACGAGTATGATCCCTTCGCCCTGGCATGTCTTATCCCTGCCGAATTGGAACTAATTCCGGAGCTTTTGCGGAAAATGGCCATTTACAGCAAATCAAAGCGAAAAAGTTACACTTTGGAAGATGTGCGAGGGTCTCAGATCGGCAGAATTCAGTATTTTTTAAACAGGGAGCTATCCTACCTTCTGGAGTGTGGCAAGATATCGCGGATTGAAGGGTAGGTGAATTATCGGTTATCTCCTTTGTCTGAATATTTTTCTGTGTAATAAATTGAAACGAAGCTTTTCAGTTTACTTGTACCGGTGAACAGTTTTGGAATTCGTCGGCCTGAATTTTTTAATCTGCGTTTGTCTCTTCTCTCTAAGGATTGTCAACGGAGAACCAACGGTTTCTGTTCGTCCCAACGCAGCCCAAAAGTTCCAAAGAAATAAACAGGCTGGTGGAGGGGCTTACATCCCGGCTACTATTCACGTTGAAGGTCCACGCGAGCACAAAAAGGCTGTGCTCGACAGAGTCTGCACGTCCTTAGCGGAGTGCGAGAATGGAGGGCTGATGACAATCGATATCGAAAATTAGAACATACAATGATTCATGACGTACAAAACCAGAATTAAATGTTGTTTCTCGTTAAATTATTGTCAATTTTGTGTGTATTTTTTTTACGGTGATGTTGTCACGTTGCAATATGGCCGCCGTGCACATTTCCGTGCACAAAGTTTAGGTCGCCCCAGTTCCTCTCGGCCAAATTTTTTTTGTTTTGGTCTTGCCTCGACCAATCATATTGCAAGAAACCATATAGACAAAACTGTCTATTCTCTATTTTCCAATTGCCCATAATACACTCTGTTTGCCCCCCAAATTCTGCATAAACTATTGTCTTTAAATGCTCCTGGGAGTATTGCATTTTCCCAAGAGCATTTTAAGACAATAAGTTATGCAAAATTTGGGGGGCAAACAGAGTGTATTATGGGCAATTGGAAAATGGTCAATGGCCCGCACATATTCTCTAAAACAAAAGAGCTTTTTGCGAACTTTTGAAAATCGACAATTTGCTCAGTTTTTCGTGGCAGTCGCTCTTAAAAAGACTGTAGTTACCACCGCTCAGCTACTACAATTTGTAGCTCATTCATCCACTGATAAGTTCGATCCCGTTTACCGTTCAAAAAATAAAAATCAAGCAGACTCGCGGTTGTCGCATCCGGAAACGGAAGGAAGACTGAGGAGAATTTTTAAGAGCGAATGCACAGAAAAATCGAGCAAAATCGGCAAATCGTGGCCACAGCTCAAAACCTAACTTACCCTCATTTTAAGTCTGTAATAAGGTTTAAATGAGTTTATAACACTGCTGACGTTTAAATTTTAAAATGCGGCTGAGTTTGGGAATTATTTGAGATTTTCGATTTCAACGGTCAGGAGGCCTAAAATTAGCGTCCGAACTTGGGAAAATAGCCCAGTGACAGAATTGAGCTGACTTTCATAAACGAACGAATATATTGGCAATCTTCCACTTAAATCTCAAAAAGCAGATATCTAACAATTTCTGAACAGCACATTTTTTAGATTTAGAGCATAAAATATCGACGAACGAGCACAATTTTGAAACGTAATTTGCATAATGCTTATAAATACAACAATTTACCGCTAAAACCAAAATCGAATTTTCTATATGGGGGAATTCTCCAAAACACCCCAAATCCCAGTTACTACCCAATGAGATATAGTAGTTCAACATTATCTGAAAGTTAGTCTGGTGTTCTGGCTAACGCCTGTAAAATAGATTGATTATTTCGAGGTTATTTCGCCCCAAACAACCGCTAATTGACCCCAAGGTCACTTAACACGTGCACGTCACCTTAATTTTATGCGTCGATTTGAGCTCGTTAAAAGGGAAAAAACTAACAAGATTATTTTAATATGTACCTGTTTTAATGAAATGCACGCGATCTTCAAAAGGAGAGGCCGTTCAATGGGTAATTTCTGTACTTGAGATCTTGTAGATTGCAGGATAGCGTCTGCGAGTGGACCTGAGTCTAGGGCTGTTTTCCCGTGACTGCGAAATCAGAATAACATCATGAAATAATCATCCCTCGAATCTTCGTAAGTGAATCTGCTTTGCAGTGCCTTACCTAAGATAAAAAGTGGGCCGAATAGGAAAACGTTTCTAGCGCAATTTGGATCCTTTGTGGAACGCAGTGTACTGCTGAGCGAAAGGTGAGTAAGCAAACCTGGGAAAGTACGTTACCTTTGATTGCGTGACCAGGCAGTAAACAAAAATAGGATTCGCAAAAATCTTGCTGATGTATATTTAACAGTTTGTTACTATAAATTTACACCGGGTTTGTCTAAAACTTTAAACAATGCATATCTGTCCAAGAGTATAAGAATGTTTCGAGAGATGCACCCCTAAATAACTGTGGGCTACTCCTTTTCCCCCATCACCGATGTGTACTTCCTTCCCCCTGTCTTTTGCATGAGGCTTGTATGCCTTTTTAACTGTTACCGACACTTAAAACTGGCCGTTTAAGGCCTGCTTTAAGAACTTGACTGACTTTAAAAACCGTCGCGAACATGCGCTATTATTGTTGGACTTTGGAAGCTTTAAGCCCAAAATGATGGTGCAATCTCGAGAAATTTGCCCGGGTCTAATTATAAGACAGGGAACGGGTACTAAGAAAGGTACGGTCTCATTTAGCAACCCGTGGACAATCTGGGCATGCTTGCCTTCTGTCGCAGGGGCAACCGTTAAGGCCAGGTACGCCGCTCCCACCCGCGAGGATTGCATGGCATTCACCATTTGAGTCGCTTTTTCTACATCATGACCTTCAATTATCATGAATTATAATGCGGGCTTTGATCGCTGCCACCTTACCAGAAGTCAAATCTTCGCACTGTTAGACCATGAGAATCTCTTTTATTATTCCATAAATGCACCATTGACTTTTCCTTGTTCAGCTTCCGGTAAGCCGATACTCCGAAGCAAAAATAGCTTTACAACGACTCTACCCAGGCCAGAACTCCTGATATCAACAAATATACCCCCCCCCTCCCCAACACTAAAGAGAGCAAACTTTCCCCGAACTGTTCACTTGACCCACCCCATCCCTTCGTTAAGAAAAACTACGCACTCAGTTCACTGGACAAAACGCGCTCGTGAATATACCAAACTATAGCCGTTCATCCTACAAGCAATCTCACTTTCAGCAGGCGTGGCCACGTTTCCAGTTGCTGTATGATTAATTCGACACCTGCAACAGACACTGTAAATTAAATAGCAGCCACAACGCCCTTCTTTGAAACCGTCAGGACGAGAAAGTTTATTAAAGACTTAACAGATGTGCGCGGCGGTTTCCTTTTCTTCCTTCCCTCCCATTGTAGCACTCAAATTCTGACCCTGATATTAATTCTAGTAGTAATCAATCGTTCCTGAGCCGATAGGCACAAGGATACCGGTTTCTTGCAAAATATGGTGTGACATCCGTTTGCCCATCCCCCTTTCTGCCTTCGGCCGCTGATTAGGTTTAGTTCTGTGCTTTGAAATAACTTTAGGAACGAAACATGATACGTGAGGGGCGTGTTCGGCTAAGGGCAAGTGACTCTCGGTGGTGAAGACATATACTGAGCTTGTCAGTATTTCGTAGCCTGTACCACGTCGCGAAAATAGAACAAGCCAAAGAAAAATAAGACGCCTTTCTTTCTCCATCCCCCGCAGGTTTTTCGCATTACTTTTTACTGCACAACTGCTTTACTATCTTGGATTCTACCTTTTCGAGCCGGAGCGAACATGGACGCCCTTGGGGTTAAGTTTCCACTTCATTTTCGGCACCTGACTAAACGCAAGCGCTGACTTGTGCACCTATGCTTCGTTTGCACTGAAGTAGCGGTATTTGATCACGACAGACTTGCTGCTATCTTTGGTTTGAAACCGCAATGGGCAAGAACAATTTCTTGAAAAGAGCAAACTGTTTCCTTTTTAGCAGACATGGAGAACAACTACTAGGACTTAAGCAATGCCATTGCTTACGTTCTACTAGACTTGAAAAGAGAAAGCATGATGCATTCTCTTTTTAATGATTTACGGCTAAACAGTACAATTTCATGTAACTTTTACGCAAAATTAAATACTTAGTTGTTTGCAGAATTGCATTTAACAACAAATTACAGAAATTTAACTAAGTTTAGATCTCATAGATAAGAATTGAACGGAAAGAACTTTTGGGGTAAAAAAGTAAAAAAATAATGTTTGCTGGAAAATCACTTAATGGACATACAATAGCAGAGATATCATGCGTGCAGTTTTCTGTTCAATGTACCTTATGACAAGTCTCACTAATCCACTGGTAGCCCATGCCTTAAAACCGCCTTGAACCTTAAAATTTAATCCATTTGCCTTTCATGCGTAGCGCAAATATATCTTCTGAACACTCCGGGGTTGGGGGTAAAATCAGAAGAACAGAACATTCAGGAGGGGGGTGAATAGGTCCGCGGAACGGCGGATTTGGCCTTAAAAAGGTCACGGATTGTGGATTTCGGCGATAAATCGAGCGGATTCGCGGATTTGAAAAATACCGTGGATCGCGGGTCAGCGGAAAGTTTTGGCCCGGTTTCCGGATTCTGTCAGTCTAGAAGTTCGGATTGTGGATCGGATCATCACTATTTTCGGTCGGCCTTGGTCAATGTGCTGGTGTTTTGTCGGCTAACGTTTCCACTTCCAAGGTTTCCGGAAGAGACTTTCTCGTGACCCGACGCATATACATGTATTCTAGTATAGACAGCGTGACGGAAATGACGTCGGGCAACCTTGTGCATGGTTCCTGCATGGATGGTTCAGGTAATGGCGGTAATGCTAAGTGACCTGACAAGATCTGTGAATGCGTGTAAATTGTCTAAGTTGCAAAATGGAAATAGAACTATCGAGTGTGCAGCCTTTTTCTACCACGAAGGTGCCAAAGGCGATGACTTTATTAAAAAAAATAAGTTTCGATGCTGCGTCGATTCCAGTCAATGGGGAAGTGTGGTGAAGCAACGCGAGCACGTTCGGTAAGTTTTATATTTGGTTTATACATGAACTGATATAAATTATGTTCTTCGAAGCTATTTCAGCTAGTTTGCGGGTCTTGATCGTTAACTTAATAGACCTTTTCACGGTTTCTGTCGCCATCTTGGTTGAGGGCAAACACGGCAAAATTTACAATAAATGTATGGTAAAAGTCGGGAGTCTGATGCTTTATAATTTGAGGATCTTTAAGGAAAGTTGACATGCTGAAATTTCGAAATTTTGACGTGCGAACGCATTTCAAAGCTACAGAAACCTTTCAATACACGAATTTCTATTCCTGTCACCCACCAGGCGTCACGAACGGCTTTATAAAAGGAGAAGCGTTAAGGCTTCTGAGAACAAATTCCTCTCAATTTACTTTTGAGGAAAACATGAGTAATTTCAAAACACGCCTACAGAATGGAGATTACCCAGCTAGAATTGTAGAAAAACACCTTTCAGATATTAAATTCTCTGATAGAGAACAAAACCGCACCTAAGAAAATACTGCCCTTTGTAACACAATACCATCCGGCTTTGC